ACATACCAGCTTGTAGCAAGCCTCTCCTTTTGGAGCTTGTCTTGGTAAGACAAGGATGTAAAACATATTGTGGGGTGAGGGGGTGGGAATCAAACAAACCACATTCATTCAAAGCCTGCAGGGCACTGTGGTGCATCTCCTATATCATGCAGCAGTGCATGCCTGTATCACCTGCTCCACATTCCCTCCATTAGACCTGAACCACCATTCAGTCACTCTCATAACTCTCCTTCCTACATATGGGAACAAGGTTTATATCAAGAGAGAGATAAACGAAGCTACAGAGAAGGAGCAGTAGAAATTCAAGGCTTTTGCTAAAATATTTTCATTAACTGTACTGCCCTAAATGAGGACACTTGCATCCCATTGCTCATCTTGAAGAAATTTTCCTCCATTATGACCACTTACTCCAGGGAGATTTCCATTTAACGGGTTTTGTGCTTTAATATAACATGCAGACTGAGCAGCATGTTTAAAACATATACATCTAGGAATGGCCATGTGTTTTGCACTTTCAAAGCCTTTAGGAAAACCTAAAGGCTACTACTCTTCAGTGGTTGCCACTCCTCTTCATTGCTCCACACCTCCATGGGTTCCAGACATTGGAAAACAGTTCTGCCAGGTAAACACCACAGACCCTCCAGTATAACTGCAGCTTTATCAAGCTGGATGCAAAATTTTCTCCACAAAAACCCTCTTCTTTTCTCCAAAAATATGTAAAAAGCTTTACTGAAGCTCCCCAAAAATTAAAAATATGTAATTTCAGTTTAAAAAGGTCCATCTTCCTCTGTTATTTCCACACCTTTTAGAGCTGCACTTTGATAGCTCACCTATTCTCATCCTGAACCAATATTAGGGCTACCCACAGATACACCACCAGAACAATAGCAACTTTTCAGAGCAAACAGGTTCTCTGCCTGCAGTCAAGTTGTAGGAATCTATAAAGATATTTCTCAAAAAAAAGCCAGTAAAACGTTAAGATTAGTCTGTAAATATGTATTTATGCATAACTAAAACTGATGAACCCTTAATAACTATCATAACACTCACATTATGGCATCATCTAACACTCCATTCAGGGGTTAGGACTCTTCCACAGCTGGAACAGAATTAGAGAGCACAACTCTTGCTCTGAAGACAAACAGACCATTGTGATTTATTTTTTTTTAATGACAGCAAACAACAAATATCCATGATGATGAAGAAATGCAAGAAAGATCAAAAGTTTTCTTTTGAAAATTGAGGAGCAGACCTGTTAGTCTCTTCAGAATAGAACACAGATGTTCACCAAAAAAATATATATGACCTAGATTATATATGCAGTGTGACACTAATTTGCTGAAATAACTGCAGTAGAGAGCCTTTTGACATCAGCAGTTCTGGTACATGAATCCTGAATAAGGGAGTATTACCTATTGCAGGAACAAAAAGAAACAAAACCACGTAATAAACAAACAGAAGAGATCAGAATTCATCAGCATTAACTAGAAATATCTCCTGAGTTTTTACTTTCATCACTAGCTTCCTAAGCAGGGACACACCCAAAGTTAGACTTTGTTAGAATTCTGGCTCAACAGTCTTAATTTTTAAAATGCAAACTCACATTTTCTTTTGTATTTTTGCTTTTATTTACCAGTAACTTGATGACTGAATGAAAAATCACTCTCCCAGCTCTAACTACATCCTCTGTGTAAGCTCTTGATTCCCATGATGCTTGAATTTCTTGTGAATTAGACTATCATACGTATCTTTCATAAATAACTTCGATTAAGAATAAACACACCCTCTCGCTCTCAATATAATTTACACTCTCTAGCTAAGCTCAATAGCTCGTTCCAAGGTTGGCCGAGTCTAACAATACAAATAAGCAACCAACAGAGAGACCATTCCATAGAACAGAAATCAATTCTTGTGTCATTTTCCAAATATATTTTCTTTACACTTGGGACAGAAGAGGGCACCTAGAAGAGACAATATTTGCAAATTAAGAGATTCCATTCCAATTACTTTCAATTCCAGAGGACATGACTGCTGCACAATCAGCACTTTTTCACTTTATCCATGCAATAAGTTACAATCAAGTCCCTCACTACCGTGGACTAATTCACAATCAGTGGTTACACTCCAACCCGGAACACACTTGGTACGTTCATAGTAGGAGGCAGAACTGCAAACTTCCTCCGATTCTAGCGCCAGCACAGCTATTGTTACTATTTTTCTGCTACTTAATAACAGAGAAACTTGAAGCCAGAGAACAATGAATTTGTTGCAGCTTTGATTTATTTCATTTCATTTTTCAAAAAATTCAAAAGCATAACTGCAGGCAGTTAGACTTTGGTAACCTTACAAGAAGACGGGGCCCGGAACACGGCGTGCCATTAGCCGGGCAGCCAGGAGAGCCGACACGCTCCGTGTGCCCAGCGGCGCGTCCTGCGGCCGAAGTCCAAGCGCCGAGGCCGCCGCGGGGCCGCGCTCAGAGCCCCCGGCCAGGCCCTCACAGGAGCCTCCCGCAGGTGTTCGGCGCCCGCCCCCGAGAAGCGGCTCCGACTCCCGCCCCAGCGGCACCGACGGGGGCACAGGGACAGAGGGGCCCGACGCGGCGGGAGAGGGGAGGCAGAGGAGGAAGAGGAGGAGGAGGAGGGTGCGGCACGGCTCGGTACCTGCCGGGGGAGCGCCTCCGCTCCGCGCCCCGCCGCCGCTGCCCGGGGAAGGGGAGGCAGAGGCAGCGCTCAGGGCTCTGGCGCAGCCGCCGGCAGCTCCGGGGCAGGGGCTCCTCCAGAGCCCCCCGCAACACCGGCTCCCTCTTCGCAGCCCGGCGCGCAGCATCCCCGCCACTCGAGACAGCTCCGAGAGCGCGGCGCAGGCGCCGCCGCCCCTTTCCCGTCCCGCTCCCGGGACAGGCTCGGAGCTCCCGGGACGGGGGCGCGCAGGCGCGGGCGAGACGGCGGCCCCGGGCCCAGCGGCGCTGCCGGCCGGCTGCTCGCCCCGCGGCACGGCGGGACGGGGCGCCGCTCCTGTGCCCTGAAGCGCTCCCGCCTGGACTTCAGGAAGCAGGGAGGCGTCCTGCAGATGTTCGCGGTGGAATTCCGGTCTTTGACGGCTGGAAATTTGTACTTCCAGCTCGGCATACATACAACATTGCCAAGGTAGAATAAAAGTAGAAACCCTTCCACCACCGCCAGCACCCAGAAGGGTTTTCCGCACTCACCGAGGCAGGCAGCCGCACTGGATGCCCTCAGCGGCACGAGGGAGATCCTTCCCCTCGTTTCGCCGTCCCTGAAGGTGCAATATCCTCACACTGTAAGCTGTATCTTCAGCTGGGTGTAGCTATGGAAGGGTTAGCTTGAACTGACCTTTGAGCAACTCTGCCCTGAGTGAAGTACCCTTAGATACATTTAGTCTGTGTTAGGACAGAGGAGAAGGCTTGTTACAGGAACACCATGGTGTCTTCTTGCCTCTCTAACAAGATAACAAAGGCTGCATAGAGGTTTGGCATTTGTTTGTCTGAAATATGAGGATAAGAGAACTCCTGTATCTCAAAAGCAACCGAAACTTCTGACTGCTTGAAAATGATCACGATGAGCAGCACAGGCTTAAGGCATGTCACATGTCAGTCTGCCTAAATACTGAGGAAGAACATAGAGAAAATCTACATGACAGGTTTGTTGATTGGACGTGCTGTGTGTAATCAAAAGTGCTACATGGATGCTTTTAGATTTGTCAACAAGAAATTAATCAGCACAATTACCCCAGCATAACTCAACATGTGCACAACAGTATGTATTTCTAATTCATATGTTATGAAAAGGGTTTAAATTAAACTGTGCTTTTTTGGAATGAGACAGCTAATTTGGTAAGTTACATTGATAGCTTCGGTAGACATGGCATTCCTTGTGTGCACAATAAAAACAGATAGCCTTCCCGACTAAAGGATTATCAAAAAATGTAAATGAGCAGGTTTAGTCTCTTTCCATTTTAGAATTTAACAGATATTGCCTCATTTTTCACAGAGAGATTGTATAACATAGTGGGGAGGTGAGTTCCCTGTGAATATAAACTTAGTGTTTGCTGTAACAAACAAACACTTTAACACATTGTAAAAAAACAAACCAAAACCTGTTTAAAGCTAAAGAAAAGCAAGACGGGTATATAAAGCACAGAAACTTTCTGCTTATTTTAATAATTAACTTTTGTTAACTGCTGTTCTGAAAGCCCTTCCTAATTTTCCTATGTTGCAATCTCCTAAAACCGAGTAGTGCTTTGTTGTACGGACAGAAATAGATAACAATAAAAAAATCTTTACCATTTTTTTCAGAGCTGTTGAGGATTTGCATTAATATGTACGTGAGAACAGAGCAGGAATGTGGAATAAATAACATTGTTAAATTGACTTTGTGCTAAATGTGAAGTTCTGCTACGAAGCAGCATTTTGCCACGAGTTTGTATGAGTAAGTTTTGCCTGAGATACCACTCAATTGCTGACAGTTCAAAGTGATTTTGAGGAAAATTAAAGTGCTTTTTAAATGTCACTCTGTTTTTTCAATCGGGACAGCTGCAACACGTAGCATTCGCAGGCTCATACTCCAGAAAAAAGGCGCACAACGAGCATATCTGTAGTGACAAGAACTGTGAGGCAAACACTCGCTTTGCTTTACAGGAGTTCATTTCGTTGTTTTCAGCAGCTATAGAGCCGCGGGCATTCGCTGACAGCCACGCTGAGCCCACGGACGCCGTGAGCCCCATCCTCTGAGTTACCAGCATCTTCTGAGACTCCGACTCCAGATTACTCCTCTTCAGCTGAAGGGCTCGGCGTGCCGGGTCGCCGTGTGAGGCTGCCGGGCCCTCTCTCCCGCCCTCTCTCCCGCTTCCAGGCGGGATGGGACGGACGGCGCCTCGCCCTCCCGCCGCGGAACGTTTGGAGGCCGGAACCTGCCGCTCGCCCGCCCGGCGGGGAAGAGGCGGGGGAAGAGAAACGAGCGGACGCGGCGCCGCCGCCATTGCACAGGTTCCGCTCCCGCCGCCGCCATTCCCGGCCCGTCCTGGCCATGTACCGGCCGGGATTCCGCGCACCGACACCTCCCTACGCGGGCGGCGGCTTCCGGAGCCCTCCCTCCGGCGGAGGACCCCTGCCGCCCTCTCCGCGGGGCTACGGGAGCCCCCACCACACGCCGCCCTACGGCCACCGGCCCGGGCCCTACGGCAGCGGCCTGTCGCCCCGCGGCGCCGGGTTCCACGGGCGCTTCGGGAGCCCCTCGCCGGGGGCGCAGACCCCGCGCAGGCCGCAGAGCGTCAGCCCCCGGTACCCGGCTCCGTACGGCGGCGCGTCCCCGGCCGGGGCGCCTCTGCACCCGCCGCCGCAGCACAAGCGCTCGCCCGGCGGCTTCCAGAGGCACTTCCAGGTATGGGGCAAGGCCAAGAGGGACACGGGGAGCAAGGAAAGAGGGAAGGGGAGAGAGAGGGAGGGAGCTGCTGCTGCCGCTTGGAAGCGAGGCCCGTAGCCCGCTGCGGGAAGGCACGCCGGGCCTTGTGTCAGCGCAGCACCCACCCGCCAACAGGATATTCAGGGAAGAGCGAGGCTTGAACCTCGCTGGGCAACACCAGCTTTTCCCCCGCCCGTTCCCCCGCGGTAGAGAGGACGGACAGAGCACCGGCAGCTGTGAGATGAGGAAAGGGAAGAGGGCCCTAGGCTGGCGCAGCTTGCTTTTTCATATTCTGGCATATGAAGGTAGAGAATTAAGCACCGGCCAGAACGACAGCAGTCACCTTCCTGCCTCCCTCTGATCGGTTTTCTTTAATGCACTGGTGAAGGGCGGTGTGCGTTTGCTTTGCCCGGGTTGTCATCCATCGTGGGATCTGCCCTATCCACACCCTGTCCACACGGAGTTTCCAGGGACAGGGACAGAGAAAAGGAGTGCTCCATTAACGAGAATTAAGCTGAGGCTCCTTTAAGCAGAAGTAACAGCATCTGCTGTGGTACTAGACTCGCATTTTAAAGTCTTTGCTTTGCACTGAAAGCTTCCTGAAAGCCAGCAACAGCAGGTTCTATGAGTTAAGCCTTTTTCCAGCTGTGTTAGTTGTGGCATGTGACTGGCAATGCACACAGGGATGGCAGTTCTCAAGAGAACAGCTTTATGTATATAACTGGCTTTATGCAATATTAGAGAAGCCTTAAAAGTGTAACAAATGACACGAGCAGTACAATGATAATTTTTTTTGTGCTCTTATTGATACTTGGAGGATTAAATATGATAATGAAGTCACATCACACTTAATAGAGATTAGTAAAATCTTAATGTGCCTGTACTGCATTGTCATGTGTCCACTGAGGACTAGTATTTTGTTATTTTCTTATGATTCAATTAACTCAGAAATCTCATGGCTGGTGGAAGGGGATCATTACAAAATTTATACTGTCTTCAGGTGCTGACTGTCTATACAAAATTTATATTGTCTTCAGCACAACAACAGAGACTTTCCTGGTGTGGAAGCCAACAGATTGCATAACCTCAGTGCCTTTTGAAAAAGCCAAGTGTATGGCATTTCTGCTGCAGATTATGGAGGGACAGTTTATGTCATTGATGTCTAATTTCCCTTTAAAAGATCATTCTTTGGCACTTCAATTAAGTGGTTTTTTCAAAGCCTGCTTGTCATGGGTTGGTGCTGGCGCAGTGCCTGTGCACCCATGAAAATGTATTTTCTCAAATGGTTACTGTGAGATGTGACCAGAAACCAAGCAGAGCAGGCTCAAGCTTAGAAATAAAGAAAAAAAAACTTTAACCTACACTATAATAAAAGGAACACACAAAATTCAGAATGAAAACCTTCCAAAATATTCCTCCTCCCCGCACCGAATTTCCAGCAAAGCACAATGAGACAAAACCTTGGATTCTCAGTCAAGTTACCCCCTCTCAGATAATCAATTCTCAGTTCGTCAAGGGAGAGAGGAGTCTCTCTTGTACCATAGTCTACCACAGGAAACACAATTGAAACCTTTTGTGTTTCCATGTCACACATGGCACCACCTGGAGAAGATCTGCCATTGTCTCATCCTCCTTCCATGCCCAGTGCTCTCACCACTGCACATGGACCAGAGCTGCTTCTAGGGTTCCTTTTAAGGATACTTTGCCAAGTACCAAAAAACAACAGCTTCTCATTTTGGGACAGCAGTCCCCCCCATTTTCACCTCCCCTGGTTCCAAGAGTCTTCAGAACAGAGATCTTCTTCCCTGAAGATGGAGGGCACCACCACACCCTCCTCATCTTTGTTCACTTCACTCCTGCACATGGTGTCACTGCAGCAGGTCACTCTCTTGGCTCAAGTCATTGCCTCCCCCTAAATGCAGTCTCTGTGTTACAGGAAAAATGGTTCTGTCCATGGCTATACAAGAAAAGTCCAGCCAAAGGCCACTCCATCATCTCTTCCCACCTAGGATTCTTTCCCATTTTCTTCTGACATCTCAGGTCCCAGGCTGTCTCTCTTCTCTTTGAGATCAAGGAGAATTAGTGTTTCACAAGGTTTTCTTTGTCTAAGAAAGGGTTAGCTGCACTGACCAGAAGGAAAGAGAAAGTCCTCTGGGAATTCTCTGCTTTTAACTCCCTGTCTTCTCAGAGTGTGTCCATGTCTTCAGAGGTTACACCAGGTGTCAGTAATTAAACCTGACCACTGATTGGCTTGGCTGTAACTTCCCGAAAAACTCACTTCCCTGTCAACCGACTCTGCCTTAGAATTTATTGAGCAGAAGAATATGCAGGAATCCTTTTGTCTTTAGTTTTAGTCAGTTTCATGTCAGCACCTGAGGATGGGAACTTTCCCATAGGCTCCATTCTTGATGTAAGAAACCTGACATAAAGTCAGGTTACATTCTGAGGTAAGAAGCATGAGATAAAGAAAGTTCAAGTTTGAATCCAGTCTCAGACTGTCACAACATCTTCCCTTCTCCGCTTTCCTTCTTTAGACCTTGTGTGTAGTTTGGGAGCACTGGCCTGATAGCAGCTCTTTCAGAGACTCAGACAATGGTGAATGTCTGTAGCTCTGCCCAGGGCTGAAGAAATGTGTGAGTCTGCACTTTGCGTGTACAGGAGCTGTTCTGCCTGGGAGGGCAGTAGAGGCAATCACAGAGGGAGTTAGTCTCATAAACCATGAGTCCCCATCTGCTTAGGTGTGGACAAGGATCTCTGCCCATGAGGCCATAAATAGATTCAGGTAGAAAGCCCTTTTTCATTTTCTAAGCATCAGGTTTCTTGTGAGGCATGTGCATTGTCCCCTCTCCTCTGTAGATCCTGCTAAGTGAACTCCAGTGCCTTTGACATTTATGATGTACAGTCACTTTTGAGATTAAAGTCTTAAGTGGTCCTTTAAAATTGCATTGGAAAATCTAAAAGAGAGTTTGTGTTTACCTTAGTGTTCTGTTAATGTCATGCCATTAGCATTCTGTACTCATTTTGTGCTCGAAGGCTTTCATTCTTTGAAACAAACAGAAACTTGAAGGAAAACATACTGAGCTTGTTTTTTCTGAAATGGCTTACTCAACCTTTATGTGGCCAGTAGTTTACAGCACTTTCTGTTTTTTCCACAGAGGTGCTTCTGCTTTATATTTTATGAAAACATGTTTCTGGAAACAAGGGCCTGTAGTGACACGACAAGGGATAATGCCTTTAATCTGTAAGAGAGTAAGTTTGCATTGGAGATTAGGGAGAAGCTCTTTACTGTAAGGGTGGTGAGGCAGTGGAACAGGTTGCCCAGAGAAGTTGTGGATGCCCCATCCCAGGCATTGTTCAAGGCCAAGCTGGATGGGGCTTTCAGCAGCCCAGACTAGTGGGGGGTGTCTGAGCCCTCGGGAGGAAAGTTGGGACTAGATGATCTTTAAGGTCCCTTCCAACCCAAACCCATTCTGTGACTTCTCATCTCCACTTAGAATTCACTTAGAGGTAACGTTTTATTCCCTACACTCAGCAGGAACTATTGAACTAGCTGCTAGCAGCTGCTTTGGAATGGTATGGATCAAAAATTGTTACAGAAAGTAAAAGAAACGTTACCCTTTTGAAATGGTGCAGTTGTGGGTTTTGTGGTCTCTGCATATGCCAGTGGCTGTAATTACATCAGGTGAAGCAAGCTGATATAGGGAGTGACTGTCCCCAATTTCAAGGCAATATTACTCCACTCAGTAACTCTTTAATGAATAGCACTAAAAGCTGTTGTTTTCTACTCCAAAGAGAGATTTGTTATCTAGAGAAAAAGTACTGAGAATAGATTGATTTTTTTTAAGCAAAGTTCATTGAGAAAATCCTGTTGGCATAAGTGACAACTAATAGAAAGTTTTTTTAAGCTATCTTTGGTACCAGATAGTGCCTCTTGCACTGAATGGTTTCACTTGTACAAGGAGAGCTGATTTCCTTTTCCACAGGTCTGTAACGTAAATAATCACATTTTGGTTTTCTTCCCTAAAAATAATTCAGAGGGGAAAAAGCATGTGATAACCAGTGTTCTAAACTTAAATAATCTACATGCTTACAGGTACTGAAGGCTGTCAATCTTGTATTACAGAATAATAAATTTCCTACATTTCAAAAATGCTAAAATGTTAGTGTAATGTCAGTGTTACAGATGACCTGCATCATACTGTAGTGAAATTAAAGATTATTAAATAAATCCATATTAATGAGCCTTAACATTGAATTATTTTGCTCCTTCCCTGAATACTACAGATCATATCAGCTCATGTTTCTTTTGCCTTCTGCAGATTAAACATGGCAATGAATGAGCTCCACATTCAATGTTTTACAATGTCAAGAGGTCTTCATTAAATGTGGTAATTTAGGGATGGTGGGGGTTTGTGTTTTAGTTTCACTACTTAAATGTGAGTACTTAACATAAATGTCACTGTTGCTAGAGCATGTCAGCTTATTCTAGGAAGCTCCATGCCCCTCAGAGAGTTTTTAGGTGTATTCTGAGGTGATTCTCTGACCCTCATGGGGTTTGATACAGTACTGTAATTCACCACCTTTTAGAAATTCTTGTGTGTTGAGATCATCCTCTTAGCTACATAACCTAGCTGCAAGGAATCATCAGAAACAAGTGGTCTATAAATAAGACACGGATGTTCCCACATTTGATCCTGTATCCATTATCATCAGACTTCAGGAGCTCCTGAAAAGTTCTTGCTGGAAACACATCAACACCTTCCTGCCACAGCACGTTAGCAGAAATAGGTTCAAGCTGTTTGAGTGAAATCTGTTATTCAGGCTAAACACTGGGTCTTTCACTTTATGGCACCATATCTCAGTTGTGCTCAGAAATTGTTTTATGTGATCTATTTACATAGATGTTAGGGCTTATAAGTCAAATTCAAATACCATCACTGCTGATCCAAAAATTCAGGGGGGGCTGGGCTGTGGGGGGAAGCAGCCATTAATCAAGTGCTTTAATCCTGTTTTACAAAATCTGATAACCAGATTTAAGGCATCCTGTTGCTCTGACCATACAGAATGCAATGGGCATGCCTGGAGATTACTGTGTATCTGTAGTATGGGTTGCTTAACTTTGGTTAAAACAATTTAAATAAAAACAGATTTAGATAGAACTTCACCTTTTAAGGAGTGAATCTGAGGAGAACAATGGATGATGCTAACAGGTGAAAAAGATTATAGGAGTTCCTTTATGTCAGCACTCTTTAAGCTGCAGACTTGTAGCAGCTTTACAGAAGCAATTGTTGTGATCCTTGATCTTAAAAAAAATCAAATATTAAAAGCTCCCTGCAAAAGCCAATACCCACTAAATCACTGATTACCACTGAGATTGTATATAAAATAAAGTCATGGGTTTTCAAATTTCGCAGAACACTGGTTTGGTTAAAAGAAGATTTTTTTTTCCCCAATGAATTCTTTGTAGCTATTTGCATTATAGAATGCTGTGTTCAATCTGTAAGTACTTAATATTTGACTTCTGCTCTTTTTAATATTGTCAGCTCTTCCTCAGCCTCTAATTCCCTGTTTTGTTGTTCAGTTTTTTTTAGACATGTTGACAGATTATGAAAAATAGCATGAGCTGCTTTTCTGCAGCTATATGCCAGAGTGATGTAAACAAGTATTTGGAAGAAGATTGTGGGTAGTGCTTTTTTCTTATCCTGGTAAATCATCACTTAAAAGTAAAATACATTAAAGTTAATATTTCCTGAGGAGGATGCAAGATGTAGTAATTAAAATTAATAATCAGTTTCAGAGTTCTACTGCAGTAGAAGGAAACATTTTAATTTTTTTTACATTTTTTTTCTTAGTTTGAATTAGACTATTAAATGTTTCTTTACCTGATGATTTTCTTCCAAAGGGATCACCCAGGACATCTACTCCATTTGGTACAGCGCATGGCAGAGAGAAAAGAGTCTCTAATGATGTGGAAAACTATTACAGACCTTCAATGCTTGAGGACCCATGGGCTGGCCTAGAGCCAGTGTCTGTTACAGACATAAACCAGCAATACAGCAGTGAGCAGACAACATGCACTGGCAAAAAAGGGAGGTATTTCAGCTAACACTTTTAAAGGCCAAACAATTCCATCTTGTCAGGAAAACTTTGGGACAGAATCTTTACACTTACACAAGATGAACAATAATCAAGACCTTAGATAATACTTTTATTTCATCACATGTCCACCCTTTTATCCTACCTTTTTTATTGCATTGGATATTTTTATGTATGGGAGGCAAAAGGAGTGATAGGAAAACTTACATTTCTGGCTATGTGGAAGTGCCTACCAGCTCTGAAGAACAGTGTTCTTTAATCACCAGCGACTGATTTGTGACTGTTAAAGCAAGTTTCCATATACTTACCTCTCCATGCCAGACTGTTAGCCTTCTATTGTAAAGTCTTTTAGGAAGTGGTATTTTTTATGTTTCAACATTTTTAGATTGAAATAACTTGGAAATAAAATAAAGTTTTGTAAATCCTTGTTTTGTAATGTATAAAGAATATTTTAGGAGCTTTGTTAAGGTGAACACATTAACACAGTAATTCACAACACTGAAATTAGGTGACTTCTGTGTGTTTGTATGCTGTAGTTAACATCTGGTTTTGTGCATAATAATTTTTGTTAATTGCAGTGTAATGTGAAATCAAAACATGACTTATAGCCATCTCAGGAAACAAATGTATTGATTTTGGAAAGTTTAATTTGTTGAACAAACTCAAGTCACAAACTTAATTCTGGAATTACTTGCTTTTGTGTTCAAAAATATATATATTTGGATCCGTATTAGAAATTTGTGGATTATAGTAACAAGTCTGCTCATTGACAGTTTAAGTCTAAAGAACACATAAAACATCAAGCTTAAGTAAATGCAAATTTTCTTTCTGGATCCACCTGCTAGTATAGTACAGAATGAGTGACAGTTTTTGTTACACACTTGACATTAGTACATGCATAGCATCTTTTTTTAACCCATTTTATATTTTTCAATTATTTTTTATTTTTGCTTAGAGCAGGCATCATTGCCAGGAGAATTGATTTGTGTGTGTACATGCTATATTTTTATACTGAAGAGGAAAGCAATGCTTTGGGTTTTTTAGAGCTTGTCTTTACATGGAAGATCCATGGTTAAATTCAGGAGTGAATATCATAATCTAGAATAAAAAAGACATAGTTCCAGCTGCAGGCATGTTCTTAACTTGCCATGTTACAGCTGCAGTAGTTAGATAAATTTGTTGTTGAACTTAACACTATTTGTTTGTTGATCTTGGCTTTTAAACCAAGGTAGAGTGTAAAATCTTTGTTAGATAAAACCATTAGTTTCATTTTCAAAATACATGTGTTCTTTTAAGCTTCTTATGTACTCAAAATTTATTTTTGTAGTCCTGAGGCAGGATTAGGTAGAGAAGCACAGGAAATCCCATTAAACTGTTCTTAGTAGCTTGTCTATGGCTGAGGTAGAATTGTCCTCTGTACTCTTTACCTGTTTCAGCATAAGATGTGTTAGGTTAATACTGCCTTCAGGAACAACTTCAGACTGTGAGGGGAGCTTAATATGTTCAAATGTTCTGAGTTTCTTGTACTCTTAGGGCCACAGTCTAAAGTATGTCACTTGTGTGTTCCCCTGGTTCACCCTATTATTTTAGTATTATATCCAAAAAGGCTGCCTCAAGAACTGAGGACATAAAGCCTGCTGGATATCAAGAATGGTGAAATCTTCATCCCAGAATCAAAAACTGGTGCCTTAAATGGCAGCTATCAGTATTGTTTTCTTTAATAGGTACCAGCTAAACTGAGATGACTTGACAAGTTGTAGAATTTATACATACGTTAATCAACATCATTGTGAAAACTGAAGTGTAAATTTTTCTATCCTTTTTTGTTTTTTCAACCTTGTCAGGTGCTGTTAAGCTCACAGAAAAAAAAAAATTGCAGTGTGCTTAATCAAGTGCCCTGTTTCTTTGCCATTTCCCATGTAATTGAAATGCAATTTATTTTTTGCAATATTTGGTGATCTTGGAGAAACAAATATGATTTTATTTAAGAGAGTAAATCCATGATGTGTTCTCAGTTAGATGTGATGAGAGTCTGGGTTTGGAAGGGAGAAAGGAAAGGTAAAGGATTCCTGAGAGAAAAGAGACTGTTAGAGGTGGGACTTCTTACAGAGTAGCCAGTATGAGCTGCCCTTGCACATTGCAAGGATGGATTTTTCCACTTTGGCATTGCAGTTGATCCAGGCATCAAGTGGAACCAGGTGTCAGACATCGGTGAAGGTAAATCTTCCAGAAAGAGAACTGAGAAAATAATAATGAAACAGTGTTTAATCCATGCAGACCTTCCGCTATGTCGTCTGTTAAATTGCTGCTTCAGTGCACTTCAGGATATGACTCAACAATTTTAAGTACATCATACTGCTAAAGGCTACAGTCATTTGGTCAAGAATCAGCACCAAAAACTTAAAAATTATTCACCTTTCTGGCTTCTGGGAGAAATTCTGTAATTACAGTAAAATTTAAATATGTCATTGTTGAAGAGCTGTAAAATGCATGAACATATGTTCAGAATTATAAATATAATGTTCTTAAAGTCAATTTAAGCTTTGCCTTTTTTGCCATGATATCTGTTAAGCTTAAGAACATACCTCCTCATCAGTTTTTTTTTTCTTTTTCCATTTGGCAAACATCTGATGGAGAGAGGATATATCCCTTCCTCATTTGTTAATGAAGCCACTTCATACTACCACTATGACTCTGGAAATAGCATGTGATGATAAAATGTAAAGCACAAAATACATCATTTTTTCATGAGCCCGTGAAACAAAATAGTGCTTATGTTTTTTTAATGAAGGGATTCCTCTGTACTGAACACAATATATGGGCATTGCTCTTTCTTCAACAGACTTCATAGATTTGAAGGTAAGTTAGCTTCTTTTTCAGAAGTTTGGGTTTATACACCATACCATACTGTGTTGTTTGCCAGGTGTTTGTCAAGTCCATTTGACTTTCTCTTCAGTTGTTTTAAAGTGTAACTCATGAGTAACTCTTCCAGCAAAAATTTAATTCACTTGTTGCTGTTTTTGCTCCTGTATTTAAAATTGAACTGCATCACTACTACATTAACAGTAACAAGAACTTAAATCAGCCGAGGACATGTGTAATGCAGCAATGCACTGGGTGGGTAGTAACCTCAGGATGTGCAAATAATAGTTCAAACTTCAGCTTTGGGTTTTCATTCCAGCTTTATCATATGGAGCATTCATTCTTCTGTGGCACTCAGTACGCTCATTGAAATTGTTAAATAATTTAGCATATTAAAATATAAATTAAAATGAGGTTTTAAAAGTTCACGTTAAACTCCTCCTCTTTAGAATTAGAAGTAATGCCTTGAGATGTAGCATTTTCCTAATGTCAAACCTGCGAACATTTAGCAGGTAAAATGTGTCTGATCAGCAGAATGGATGACTACTTTTGCAGTCAGGTTGCTTGTGTTGTTAAGGACATCTTTATGTGCTCTTAACTTTATAGAAATTACTTCAGTAGAAATCAGAGGGGGGAGCATTTGAAAAATGCATTATATGGAAATTCTACAAGTAGCTGTTCACCTTCGTTCTAAAGAAAAGATTTTTTATAGCATGTTTGGTTTTCAAGCTGTGCTTCTGAGTAATCTCACTGAAGCCAGAAGATTTGCTCATGCAGCTGGGATATGTAAGTATCTGATGTCACAGTTTGAAAATTCTGTCTCCATTTATCCATCAGTGCTTTTTACCAGCACTGCAGTTTATTCCTCTGCCTAGCAATTGCTCTGAATTCAAATTCATACATGGCTTTTATACATGACTGTCTTGCAATGAATTAAACTTGTTTGTAGAATATTTTCCAAAATTCTCAAGAGTAAAGACTGTTCTCTTTTCCCCAAATCTTGGTGCTTGCCTTCCTTCTGTCTTCTTGGAACTGGCAGAGGAGAGGGAGGATTGCCCACACTGATGGGTGAAGAATCGTGTAATGATTTTCATATCTCAGGCTTTCAGAAACTTGCATACCAATTGACATAGGGAACTAGATAAACTTTTTTATCATTTGAGATAGTTCAAACAACTTTTTACAGCACAAGAAATGAAAGAAATCAAGTTGTGTTTACACTCAACAGTAATGCAGTGTCAGCCTTCAGTCATTAATTCCCAACCAAAATTTTTTTTGCCTAGAGTAAATTCTTGTATGTATATCTCAAAAGGCACAAACTGATTCAGTTTCATTCTCTGCCATTTTCACTTTAATGTGTGTTTTGCTGACTTAAAACTTAACAATAACTTCTCAATCTGAACTTCTGAATTTTCTTTTACAAAGTAAATAACTCTTGAATGTTCGACCTCAAATCTAGTCCTTCCCTTTAAACTGATGCTGACTCATCTATTTTAGATCTGGCAAAAAAGGCTTTATCCCAGCCCCATTGCTTTCGTGATGACACTAAGAAACCTTTGCCTCCTGGGCTGGAGACAGCTGGGCAGATGTTTGGTGTGTGGCCACCCTTCCTGTCCTAGAGGTTACCCCTAGACTTTGGCCATTCCAGGAGCTGTTTTGAGACAAATAGTAATCCCTTTTGCTTCACCAGCTCTGTGTGGGGTCCAAACCCAATCAGGGGTTGGTTAGTGCACATCCTGGATTTTAAGTTTCATCAACATCTTCTGCAGTAAAATCACAGGTGAATTCCACTGCCCTTTTTTCACTCATCTGTGGCTGTTGCACACTGTTGTTCTGAACTAGTTGTGTAAACATTTGTGTTCAAGAATGTAACTCCTGCAGCTAAAAGGGGTCATACCAGTACAGTTCCACAGGGAAATTTTTAATGCTGCTGACTGTCCTGCTATTATAATCTGCACCAAAAATCTGCATGTATCACCCTGCTTCTGTGTAGCAGTAACCGTGCTGTTTGATGCTGTATTAAACTGCACTTAAACCTGGTATCCATAAGTATTTGCCACAGTCCAATTGCTGTGTATTCAAGGTAGTTAGAAGCTGTTACTGTAGAGTCAATGGGTTCAAATCCTTGTTGTATATATGAGGAAATTCCTATGAGTTCAACCTGCTGAACATGATGTCGATGGAACTGTTAGTATACCAGTAAAGGGAAGAAAAAAACCTTTTTCACACCGATGGCAAATTATTCTCTTTTCAAGCATCACAGAGCTGCTGCTAAAACAAGGGAAGAGGAATCAAGCTAATTGACAGCTTCTGTGGATGACTGCACAGCATAAAGTACAAACAACAGGGCTGACATAAGCTTTAAAAAGCACTGATTGCCAGCTTGGGAGTAGCATCATCAATAATTGGATTGTAAGTAGCAATTGCAGTGTTCTTAAATCAAACCACCACCTCCTGTGGCTTTATGAAGATTTTTAGGTTAATATAAAAGAAGGCTTTGAGCTATATTCCCTTAACAGATGTTGGAAATTAATGTTACTATTCCTACAGTTGAGTTTGCAGAAGAGACTGTCTTCATCACTTGTCTGTGAAGTTTAGTTTCTTTGCCTTTTTTTTTTTTTTTTAAGCTAAGGAAATACAGGATTTGAAAATCTCAGGGATTGTAACAAAGATAAAAGGGAGAATTAACATGTGCAAATGGTCCAAGAGTACAACTTGAGTTAATAACTATAAGAAGGCATTGAGAATCTATTGATTACTTGGCATTGCACTTTCCTAAGGCTGTTTCCCTTGTCTGTAATTTTTTAATAGCCTCCTGATTTCTGTGGCAATTAAATTGCACTAAGGAAAATTATTGGGTTGTTAATTTCCACATGTTGGAAAGCTGTTTGCGCACTATGGGCAACAGGTTAGGAAACTGTGATAACTGTTTGCAAATTAATGAGCTGCCAAATTGTCTCACTGTTGGAACTGAAGACACCTTACACTACCAGCAGCATTCCTGTACTTATAATAGTTTCTAAAAATACCAAGCACGTAGATAGCTTGTGCAGAGAACCTTTGAATCTGTATTTTCAAGGTACCTATTGCATCTGGTTGGTTTTTCTGACGATATTTAATTTCCTCTCACAACAATTGCTGTGTGTTTTATACATTGGCTGTCCTGTAGCCTGTCATCCTCACCGCTGTGAGTGAGGAAGAAATAGTTACTGTCCATATTTTGTGAATATACTACTGGTAGCAGCCCAGTTTAGTTTCTCTCTGCTATTAGATCATCCCAGTACACATTAACCAAATCTCTGTGGTCTTACAGCTTGCAAAGTAGATTCTAGTACATATTAAACATACCCACAAGGCTCTGTGTACTTTATTTTTCAAGCAAACAGTTTTAAGGGACCTACCAAAAGTGGTTGTTTAACACACACAACCCCACCCAATTCTATCCAGAGGAATAACTTAGGCAGTCTTACCCTAAATTTTCCTCTCCAGAGAGTTTTCAATTGTCTCTTCCCCAAGGCTCTTCTGCCTTGGTTTTCCATGGAAATAAGTATACCCTCCCTACCCTTTCCATTGGAATAGGTTCACCCCACCCTTCAGGGCTCTGCTGGAGGGTTTGATGGAATCAGTGTCATCCAACCACGCAGAACATTCAGTCCCTACAGGTCCTGTTAGTTTACATTGCTGGAGATGACAGAA